AAAAACCAATGAAAACCAAGAGCTGCTTCTTTGAAAAGATAAAGAAAATTGACAAATCTTTAGCTAGCTCACCAAGAAAAAGAGAAGGCTCAAATAAATAAAATCAGAAAAGAAAGAGGAGACGTTACAGCTGATACTACAAAAAATACAAAAGACAATGAGACTACTATAAAAAATTATACACCAACATATTGGACACCCTAGGGGAAATGGATAAATTCCTCGAAACATACAACCTTACAAACCTGAAAATGGAAGAAACAGAAAATCTAAAAGACCAGTTACTAGTAAGGAGATTGAAACAGTAATTAAAATCCTCCCGACAAACAAAAGTCCAGGACTGAATGGCTTACCTGGGGAAATCTACCAAATATGCAAAGAGGGATTAATACAAATCCTTCTCAAACTCTTCCAAAAGAGAGAAGAGGAAGGAACACTGTCAAATTCATTTTAAAAGGCCAGCACTACCCTGATATCAAAACCAGACAAAGACACAAGAAAGAAAATTACAGGCCAATATCCCTAAAGAACATAGATGCAAAAATCTCAAGCCTATATTAGCAAACCAAATTGAACAATACATCAGAAGGATCATACACCATGTTCAAATTATTCCAAGGATGCAAGGATGGTTCAACATTGGCAAATCAATCAATGTGATACACCATATTACCAAAATGAAGGATAAAAATCATATGATCATTTCAATAGACATAGAAAAAGCATTTGAGAAAATTCCACATCTGAGGGCAGCAAACTATGCTCCATGGGCCAAATCTGGCCTGTCACCTCTCTTTGGATAGCCTGCAAGGTTTTCACATTTTTGAAAGGTTGAAAAAAAATCAAAAGAAGAATATTCAGTGACACATAAAAATTACACAAAATTCAAATTTTACTACTACCTATAACAATCTTGTTGGAACACAGCTACATTCATTTCATTTACGAAGTATTGTCCATGGCTGCTTTCACTTCATGCTCAATGGCAGAGCTGAGTAGTTGTGACAAAGACCATCAGTGTTGCTCCCATTGCTTCGCACTGCTGCTCAATAAAGGCAAACTACAGTGACACATTTATATCTGGATAGTGTTTTGAGTCCCTTGTATATCCTGATACTGTAAAATTTTTAATTTCTTATTAACCTGTCATGTCTAGTGTTGAGCTTTTAAGGCACAGAGCCATGTGGATGACTTTGTTGTTGTAATAAATGGCAAGTATTGTGCTAATCATGCAATAATATAACAGCGGTGGTAAATGTTGACATTTATATGTTGACATTATCATACCAAGAACTCATCACAATATTCCCAACTCAGAATTAAGTATTGATTATAAGAATTCAGGATATTTAAAATGAACTATTTCAGCATGGCAGAATTTCTTCCCAAAAATAAAAAAACAAAACAAAACAAAAATGAGGTTCCAACAAAAGTCAGTTTCTAAGTGGCTCATTGTTAGTAATGCAAGGAAAGCCATTTACCAATGGGGAGCTGCTTAAATTTTGTGTGCTTGCAGTAGATGAAGAGATGTGTACAGAGAAACTAGACAAGACTATTAGCCTTCTGGGGCACCTGGGTGGCTCAATCAGTTAAGCATCTGACTCTTGGTTTTGGCTCAGGTTGTGATCTCATGGATTGTGGGATTGAGCCCCACATCTGGCTCTGCACTCAGCAGGGAGTCTGCTTGAAGATTCCATCCCTCTGCTCCTCCCCCGACTTGTGCATGTGCACGCTCTCTCTCTAATAAATAAATAGATCTTAAAAAAAAAAAAAGACTATTAACCTTATGGTGAGAACAGCTGCTTGAATAGTTGAGGACATTCCCAGTAATATTAATAGGAAACTAAAAACAAGACAAATTATTTCAAGCCACTATCCTTGGTTTTTGATTAGTTGGCAAATGTTACCAGTACTACTCATTTGTTTATTCGAGAAGTCAGTGCTTTGTTTGAAGTGACTGAGGTATTAGCCTTGACTAGTCTGCATGGAACAACTATAGGTGAGAATATTTTCAAAGAATTTGAGAAATTAATAGTACAACCTGAAGTGGAATCTGCTATGGTGGTCAAAGTGTGTGGAGCAGAAAAAGATATAATTTGACAAATTTACAAAGCTTGTGAAAATGTAGTGTTTAATGCCTATGGTTATTCATTGTATTATTCATCAGCAGTACTGTGTGGGAAATATTTGCATCTGGTAGGTCAGACCTGATAGGTGTTAAGACCCGATAGGTGTTACTGGATCAGTACTGTCAACAGTAAACTTCATTCACTCTCCTGGACTTACCCACTGCCATTTCTGTGAATTTCTTTCAGAAACAGAAGCTGAAGACCCTGACCTGTGCTATCACATAGCAGCTCAATGGCTCAGCAGGGGTAAAGTTTTATAGTGATCTTTGAACTTAAGGCTGAGATTGAAATTTTTTTGAATGAGAAGATTTTCCTAGTGGTGAATGGCTTTGGAAATTAGTTTTTACTGCAAATTTGATGTTTCTTAATGAATTCAACCTAAATTACAGGCAAAAAAATGCTTACATATAAAACTCTTGAAAGGTTCATTTTGAAACAGCTGACATTTAATCACAAGAGTAATGTCGAACTGTTTTTACAGTTCTCATCCTGTCAAAAGTTAGAAGAAGCAAGGTCTTCATTCTTACACAAATTTGTAGCAGATATATTTTCTGAGCTCAAACTATAGTTCCAGTGATATTTTACCGACCTCAATGCAAGTGCAAAGGAAATTTCCATATTTCAAGATCCTTTAACTGTGCAATCAAGGAGCTTCTGCCTAATGACTTGCTAAAAACCAAACACCAAAGAATAATCTAACAAAATTCCACAAAAGCCTTCAAAAAGGAGAATATGCTCAAATAAAATATCAGTATTTGGCACTACCTATCTATGTGAAAAGATATTTTCAAAGATGATAAAATATATAAAATCTTATTACAGATCAGAACATTTTCATTCAATTATGAACTTGGTATTCCAATTATGCAAAATGTTATTCCCCCAGAAGAATTCAATTGTTCTCATTACTAGACCTGTATTACATGAAGTTGCACTCAATTATTACTATATATTAAATATAATCAATAAAAAAATGAGTGGAAATTTGTTTTCTCTTTTGTCATATAAGTACCTACATAATTTCCTCGATTTTGTTTCTCAACCTGCAAAGTTTACTATATGGTCCTTTACAGAAAAAGTCTGCTGATTCCTGATTTAAATTAGTGGTTTCCAAAGCAGCTGTTCATCAAAATCTTATGTATTAAAAAAATACGGGCGCCTGGGTGGCTCAGTTGGTTGGGCGACTGCCTTCGGCTCAGGTCATGATCCTGGATCGAGTCCCGCATCGGGCTCCCTGCTCGGCAGGGAGTCTGCTTCTCCCTCTGACCTTCCCCCCTCTCATGCTCTCTCTCTATCTCATTGTCTCTCAAATGAATAAATAAAATCTTAAAAAAAAAAAAATACAGAGCTGGTTCACCTGTAACAGGTGACTGATGTCCAGCTATGTAGGCACCATTGTTCTATAATTATGCCATCCCTGATCCTATTTCCCATGAATCATCTTAGAGCTGCAACCCTTATTATCTTAACTTCCAATAGGGAGAAAGAAAGGATTAATAGAGAGTACCTACAATTTAATTAAGCAAGTCATTGGCAAAATTGGGTAAAACTTTTAGGATTTTTGAATCCTGATTATTGGTCAAATTAATTAAAGTAAAATTGACAAGGGACACAAAGAAACAGTTTTGAAAAACCCGAGTATAAAGGTAGAAGAATAAAATATTCTCAACTTAGTTATACAGGGAATATTCCTTTTGTATCTTTAAAGAACAGTAACAACCGACCTATTAATAAATTCATCTTACAAATATTTACTGAGTACTTACTTATATATGTCAAGCATGGTTCCAGGTGCTGGGAATACAGCAGTGAACAAGACAGACCAAAATACCTGCCTTCACGGAGCTCACACATTAGTGGATGGACAACTATAATGTCTCTATAACACCCCTTCAAAATGGCCCAAAGATGTGAGGAAACAGCCTCAGAGTCCCCAGGACTCGGTTTGCCATCCTGGGAAAGAAGCTGACTGGTGCACGTGCAGCTTTTACAGCTCTACTGGCAAGATGGTGCAGTCCTGACGGAGGACTTCGGTAAACTATCAAGCTGGAGTCTAGGTTATCAGCACCGAGTTGACGGGGGGAGTGTGCCTGTGAGGGGGAATGCCGATGAAAGAGTGGCCACGTTCACTGGATCCCCCAGCTGGTTCAAGGTGACAAAGGCAGCCACGGACATGCAACATCAATTTTCTGCTACCCCACTCACACTACCCGTACGATACATTTCCTATTTCCCGTACAGTCTCACTTTCAGACTGAGGGCTTAAAGCTCAAACTTGGGTTAGGGTAAATAATGGTCCTCTTATGCTGAATATCATTTTATCATTCCAGAGTCTTTATTATGGAGTGGGTAAAAGAGATGGCTATACTCACAGGGAATTCAGATTAGATTAGTAGACCAAGGAGAGATTTCCATGGAAATCATCTCAGTTTTCCCAGACTTATCCATATCCACGCAAGGCATCACAGTGTCCTGACTCTCATCACCAACAGGCTCCTGCTTACAATGTGACCATTTAGGGGGACACACAGTGCAACATACTACAGTACAAAGAAGGCATTGAAGCACCTGCAGCGCGGCCTAGCGCCTTGCACTTTGCCGTGAGCATAAGGTTAAAGGGGAAGGAAGAGCGAAGAAAGAAGAAACAGACTGTACCGCTACCCGCTGCTGGTTCCAAGTCAATCACGCCTACTGCTGATTTATAAAATTATCTTCTAAAACTCCATCTTTCCCTTCAAAACACTCAGCAAATTAAAAAGAAAATAATATCTCATCTGGCTAGAAGTTGGGGTCTTTGCCTTCGTATTAACTTTGTTTTCAAGAATAAAAACTTTTGCTAAAAAAAGGCTCCATGAAGGAGAAGTGACTCACCACTTAGTTGCGGGGCTGCAGCCAGGCGGCTGGGCTTCAGGATGAACTGGCACTGCATCTCTCGGGGCAGCTGTTCCATGAGGAAGGACTCCTGGAGGTTGGAAGGCGTGCTGGTGTCCTTCGAGCCCTGTGCCAGGAGCAGAGTGTCTCGAAGATGGCTCATTTTAATTCCATAGGGATATTCATGCCCTACACAGAGAAAAATCTGAATGTAGACTTTGGGCTGACTGGCGCTGTGAGCACGTGTGCTACATACTAGAATACACTGCAATGTGCTCCTGGGACTTCGGAAATAAAGCATCCTTTTGTTGACTGATCACTGTGCATGCTCCTGCACTTGGAGACCACTGCATGATGCAGGTGGCCCTATCAAAGTAGTTTTAAGCAGGTGGTGGGGAGGGGGTGCAGAAAAAACTCAAAAAGAAAAAAAATCTTTAAAGAATATCTTCTTTGGAATGCACAGATTAGTTTGTGAGTTGCAGGATGCTGACTTTTCCTATGTTCGCACCCAGGACTATTTAAAGGTACTCTAGTTCTCCTTTGACACTAATATATCTGTAAATCTTCAGCAAATCCTTGACATCTCTCAGCCTTAAATCTACGGTTTAAAATATTTACCCTACTTATCACACAGTGATAAGAATCAAGTAAGTGAACTTTAATGGTTAACATAATTTAAATAGTAAGGGCAAAAAGCTATCTATGTATTTCAAGCATCACTATTATTGAACACAAGATGTCCGTCTGAAAAAGACATTTCATTAGTTATTAGTGAGATCATCAGAGTTACAAATCCAGAGCATCAGGACTAGTTGGTTTGATTTATGCTTCCCTCCCACTGCTGCCCTCTGAGGGTGGTGTTCACAGGCAATAATCAGAAGGAAGACTGCAGGGCACCGGAAACACAGAAAAAGGATTCAAAAAGTAATCTGCAAACTAGAAAAACTAAACCCTGGACATCTGACTGCAACATGACTTTTTGCTCTTTAGTATTTTCAGTGATTGCATTTTCTTAACTTAAACCTTCAAGTACCACTGTGCTGTAGATTTGCCTTTTTTTTTTAAGTACAGAGAGTAAGTTCTCTTCTATTCCTAATTTATCACTGAATGTAACCCTGTGAACTCTTCCCTTTCCTTTCCATCTGACAGAGGTACACAATATCAATGTTCCAATAATATCGAGCATTACAGCTGCTTCAGGGATTAAGGCCAAAAAAAAAAAAAAAAAAAAAAAAAGCCAGCAGCTAAACTACAATTGAAGTTTTCCAAGGCACACTGAAATATACGATGGAGAATTGCTGCTAAATCAGGTCCCATGGATACTTTCTTCTTTTAGTGAGTTAGCAATGAAGCTGGAAGCTGTTTTAAAGCCCAAAAGCTACCATCTAAATAGTTTTAATTAATATATTTTATGAAAACAATTATATATTTTAACTAAGTATTTTTTCATCACAACTTGGTTGCTCACTGATTTTGACAAAAATGACAACATTAAAAAAGAAACCAGAAATGCGGTGAATTTTGGCCTCAGCTATGTACATGACAGCTTACTTTAAGTCTGAGAATATATATTTTACAGAAAGGTTTGGTCTTAGATTATTCAGATCACTTGAAACACTCTGAATTACACAGTAGTGATCTCCCAGGTAAATGAAAGAGTTACATGAGATAATGCATATAATATGCTCTGCACAGTATGGGGCAGATAGTGAGCATTTAAAAATTATTAGTGGAAATCATCATCTTCATCATTATTACTGTCATCATCTCAAGATCTGTGACAGATACCGTCCCTTATTTTAATTGCTCTATTTCTGTTAACCACACGGAGTGACCTTACTGATCAAGATGTATTTTTTAGCTGAATAATTTAAACAAGGGGAGATGTAATCTTTTTCCCAATAATTCCTCAGAACAAATGCTGGAAAATCTGTCTAGAGAAATAGCAAAGTCCCGAAATAGTAACTAGCTGATAAGTCAGTGAATATTTTTAGGACTCTAAATGGGTTAATCTCATTTTCATTATGATGCCTAGGACAGGTTTTGAATACGCATTGATCAATTAAGAGGCATGACTGGATTACAGATAGTCTTCCAAAGAGGCAATGTAGTAGGGAGGAAAGGGAACAGGAAATTCAAGAATTGAATGTGAAAAATAAATGTATAGGGAAAGAGAATACCAATACATATTGGTTTCTTATAGAAAAAAATTTAAAAAGGTTTGCAAAATAGCTCTGTTTGTAAAGTGAAAAAATAGAAACGGAAATTTATATTGCTCTTCTCAACTAACTGTACCATTAGCTGCTTGAATCAAGAGACAGTATTTGTCTAACACTTAGGAAATGGTTGATAGGTAAGTATCGAATGAATAAATAGATATATGAGATTTAATATTTGATGGTGCCCTACATTTAGGACCACATGACCAATTCTCTGAGACATTTAGAATCATAATTAAAATACAATCCCATCTTAGATTTTTGAAGGAACTTACCAATAAGTGGGTATGGTGCTTCTTCTTTGCCAGAATTGACCCATAACTGGTAATCTCTCTCAGAGCCCTTGGGAATAAAAGAAGTAATAATAATTCTTTCATGTTTGGTAACTGAATAAGGATACTTTTTTTTTTTGGCACTTTTATGTTTTGAAAAAAGTGGAGATGATATAAATGCTATTCAGGTTCATGGGTGTGGATACAGTTTTTGAAGATGGCAGTGCTAATTGCTACAACCTATATTCCCCTTTCTCATCCCTAGCAGAGGACTCAGGAGTCCTGCCCTTTTCCCCTACTGATGACAAGAGATCCACAGACTGCAATGGAAGCAGGCCCTCACAATTATGGGTAGCCCACAGAACTCAAAATTATAGGTCTCTTTACAAAGCAAAAAGAAATGTCCTGGTTTTCTAAAAGATTAATCTCTTCTTTAGAGTCCTGATTTCTGCTATGTCTCTGGACTTCTCAGAGATTACTGGACTTAAATCTCCAACAAGCCCCTGCAAAGACATCCTTGTTATCCAGAAAGCCAAAACAGTGCTGTGTCTGTGATGAAAAAGTAAAATCTCAGAGGCTGATTATTAGCTCAGCTATTTCTGAGCAGAAGGAGAATGACCGAGAGGCTCTGACGAGATAGGTAGCTGGCACAGTCTACACTGGTTTTATTTTGGGCAAGTCCAGTCCTGGGAACAGAAAGGACAAGAATTCTGTCTAGAGAATAGGCCTAGCCATAGAAAACAATGAAATTGTTCACTAGCAGAATTATAGCCCAGCAATACTAAAAATCTTACTTGAAAGAAATAATACTAAATTATTTATAAATAAATTAAGAACTTTGCTGCATCCTCTAGGAGAGGATAAAGTAAAAATGTTTTAAATGAGGCTAGAAGAGATTGGCAATATTAAATATTCCTGCCTTTATTTATTTTTTATTAAAAATCATTGTTCTGACCTTATAATGGAAGATCCTGGCTGTGGAGAATAGCCTCTGGTGCCCTCCCCTACTCTGTTTGTCACTTCCCTCCCCATCCTCTACTCAAAACATTTTATTGCAAATAGGGAGAGCAAGCAATCTAATGAAAATCCTTTCTTTTTTTTTTTTTGTAGTGTCTGAAAACACTGTAATAATCCCTTAGAACAAAACAGTATAACCAAATAGCCTCAATTCTTAATTATAATGAATATAAATATTTTTGGTGTCAGGAGATGGATCACTTTTTTCAAAGGAAAAGCATAAATGAGTCATGTCATTAATTAATCTTCCTTCCTTTTCCTTAAACTACACACTTTCTTTCCAAGACATAAACACATAAGCTTAGAAATCAATGCAGAAGTGCCTGTTTTACCCAGTGTATATAAATCTAATTATAGCTTAAATATACTATTAAATTTAAGAAATCAGATTTCTAAAAAAAAAAAAAAAATCAGATTTCTTACCCTAAAGTCTGATTTCTCTGAGTGCTTAAGGGCTTATGATAGCACAATGTATAAGTAAATCTAAATATAACTTATTACACTATGGCATATCTAAAACATTTGACATGTTACATCATAGTAACATTGTGCTTTCATATTTATAGAGAATCTGACTCAAGAAATGGTGTTATTCAAGTGCTTCCTTTAGTTTCCAACCTTCTGAAAGTCACTCCTTTAATACAAGACCCACCATGTGGTGTTTATATACTGGTAGGGAGGAGATGAGGAGAATTTTCCAACGTTCTCCTTACCTCATCCTCAAACATGCCAATACTCTCCATTAATAAAATATCAAACACTTACCTTTGCCCCACAAAACAGAAAGAAGCAGAAGCTAAATGCAAAACTGGGGAACATGTGGTATGCACACTAAAGCTCTTTAACTCCATGATCTAATTCAAAGCTTCTTTTTTAATTTACCAATTCATCAGAGGTACCAGCCATCTCATCTTCTGGATCTACAGCCAGTGAATATGGATTCTAGCTATGTGTTCTTCAGGTATAAATTCTACTATAGAGCAAATCCTTCAGAATTCATCATCCTAAGACTGATGGACTCTTGGCATAATAGGAGAATTAGGTAAAGGAGAAGAATCAGAAAAGGAGATAGGAAAGAATAGTCATTGAGTGACAAGTGGGAAGGAGGTCAGAACTTTCTCATCACAATCTTATACCGAGAAACCCCTCCATCTGTATATGTATATAGCATATACAATAAAAATAGATATTATTATCACTCTAAAATGATAGCCTTATCTTATTATGCTTTCCAGTTCACACAGGTCTTACAGTGTCAGAAGAGCAGCATCTAATATAAAAGCTTTACTGTCCTTATTTTCCCCATTTTGGGGAATAAAACATGAATTTGGTATTATTTAGTAATAAGTTGTCTTATGACAAAAGGGATAATATTTATATGACTCTAAAGTATCAAAGTTTGTTTTTAATTAAGAGTATCTAGTAGAGTAACTTACAGTTATCCCTAGCATGGGTAGTGACATGTTGATAACTTCATTTGCTGTATCTGAATTTGTTACTGTTATAGTTTTAGACTGCAGAAAAAAAAGAAATATAGTTATAAATAAAGGGCATTAATTCAGGTGAATAAGTAATTATTATAAAATGATTACCCAAAGGCAAATTTTGATTTCAAGTGTTAACAGGCAAATGACTTAAGTAGAACAAACCCTTGATGATAATTTACTTTCATTCCATTATATCTTATGCTTTTTGATAAAACATCTATAAAACCTCTTTAATATAAAGGACATGTAGCTCACAAAATATAAGACCTTCAGCAAGAAAGAAAAAGATTAACTACATACGAGAGGGAGTACATGGACTACCCTCCCAAACCACCCCTCCAAAATCTAGTGAAGTTGGTGCTCTGTATCATCTCCATAATTGCATTTCCATAACGCAAAGTGTGATAAAACAGGGAGCACACTGGATCACTTTCTCCTTGTTCCTGAGCACTGTTTTCACAGTGTGGGTTTCACAGTCCTTTCTTTGCATGGTAAGAAGTTGAGGTAAAATCAGAATAAAAACTGGCTACAAAAAGACATTTAAAGTTTAGAATTTTTAAAAACATTATTTATTGAGCACTATGTCAAACACTGTGGCTTCTGAGATTTTCAGTGTTGAAATCTGCAGACACCTTAAAACCAGTGAGTCTGGCAAACAGGACTGAGAATTTTAGAAAGCTCAATTCTGTTGCCAACTCTGCTATTTAATAGGAGATCTCTGATAGCTCTGTGCTAAACTACATTTAGAAATCACTACTTAAGGGGCGCCTGGGTGGCTCAGTCATTAAGCGTCTGCCTTTGGCTTGGGTGATGATCCCAGAGTCCTGGGATCGAGCCCCACATCGGGCTTCCTGCTCGGCGGGAAGCCTGCTTCTCCCTCTCCCACTCCCCCTGCTTGTGTTCCCTCTCTCGCTGTCTCTCTCTGTCAAATAAATAAATAAAAATCTAAAAAAAAATTACTACTTAAAAATAGTTTGCAGCAAATAGAAAAGGGATTAACAAGATTTTGAGATATCTGTATAGAGTTCACTGAATTCTAAGACCTTTAAATGTGAGACAATGCTATGCTATCAAAAAAGAAATATTTACTATGCACATAGGTTTTACATATTATAATTATCAGATGAATCAGCAATTAGGGCTGTGTCCCTGATAGGGCTTAAATGGTATAAATAAGTATAGGCAGAAACAAAATGATATAAAAACAAAAATGATGTCATTAAGTGAAATCCACGCACAATTCACCACTTATCTTTCCATTATAGTACTTTTTTTTCCTCTATGAGCTGATTATTTGACATGACAAATTGCCTCTTAAAGTTGTTTGCTAATTGATTTCAAATTGTGCTCTTGAGCTCCAAAGATTATGCGTAAGTCTCTCAGAAGCCAACAGGCAGGGCTTAGAGCACCCACACCAGTGTCCGTCTTCCACCAGAGTGATACAGGTGTTTTATACACTGGGATTTAACTTGAGATATAATTTTGTGACAGGCATCTGCTTTTCTTTTTAAGTCTGAAAACCTAACCTTAAATTAAATTTTAAAGAAATTCTCTCATGAAGTCTTTTGTAAAATGAAGAATCTTTCCTGTAATACTCATAGTATCTCCTAATGTACCTGGATTCTAAGATAACATACAGTCAAAACAGTAATCATAGGTGTGTGTTTTCCTTGCAAGCCTCTCTGGCAGACAAAACAAATGAATTTCAGCAGATAGTCCTCTGTGGCTAGTAAACAAATAAAGCAAACAGGCAAAAATGAAAATGTGGCTTTTTTTTTTTTTCCATGTTAGCAGAATTCACTGACCGGCTGTGTATAACTAAAGGCCAAGGATAAATAATGCTTTCCATACATACATTCCTATTTTCGGGGGGAATCACTCTTTCTGGAAGCAGGCTCCCTGAAAGGAGACTCTGGTCATGATGCAGCTTCAGAGAGCTAAGGACGGTGTGTCATCATCGTTGAGTTAACCAGCATACTAGTGATAAAAACAGAGCACCCAGCCTGACCACATCTCTGGTCTTCTCTTCCAAAGAGAATGGAATTTTGGGCCTTTCTCAAGCACACACTTTCCATACACTGAAAATCTCAAAAAAAATTCAAGGGATTTTCCATGAAAATCCTAATTATAACCAATTGCCATACAACTGAATCAAAGCTGGCAGAAAAATAGCAGTCGGTTTTTGTTTGTTTGTTTTTTGCTACTTTGCTACAGTAGATCTTTATAGTTTCACACCATAAAAAATTTGAGTATTTCCCTCAAGCAGTGACATCTGGCACTCATGTCAGAACATTTGCATAACTTTTGCTTTTGGCCAAAACGTAACTGTTTTGTACTACATCTCTTGCCGTGTGATCCAGGGCTGTTGTGAAGTATGGTAATGCATTGTATCATAAAAATATCCGTAAATTCCCATTTTGTTCATCATTGATAACATCTTGGTATTTGTTCTATATTTCCGGTCATCAAATTATACATAATAACTGGGGCTAAATAGGCTTAATTTTTATTTGACCAATATGATAAAAACTGTGAGGTAGAAATATGCTGATCCCTTAAAAATGTCATCTCTCCTAGCTCATCCATTATTAACCCAAGGGATTCAATCCCTAAATATTCAGAGAATGAAGAACTATCTTAAACCACCTTCTACTTAAGAAGTGACAAGTTGGAAAAAATTGCTTAATACCAATAGGAAATACATCCTTGTGAAAATGGCTTTACTACAAGCCTCTGCAGCTGCTATTGAAAGGGTCCAGAGAAACATTAATGCCAGAGGGAGGAAAGAGACATCTGACAAGCGAATATTCTAAGTGTTAATACGAAATACTGTAGTTAATGTGAATTTCTCTTGCTTCATTTTCTCTAGGGTTTACTTTTCACATACACAAAGACATACATAGACCCAGGAAAATGCATTTTCCCACAATGGTATTTCTAAATGCTTGCCTTCCATAGCACATCCACAGTCTGTCTGTCTGCCTGCCTGCCTGTGTCTTTTCATCCATGGAGCTCTGCTTTATGCAGGGACTTGGAATTTAATTTTCTGGCTTAGAAACACTTACATAGGCACAATTCCCAATGTCCTTGGCGAAGATTTTGAGGGGAATGCTCTTCGGGTAGTCCTTCTCTTTCTCTAGATTGATGTATCTAATCAAATGCAACAACAACCCAAGACAACACTGAGTCAGATGGATTTTGCTAATGGCTTATTTTAAAATCAATCTATTTTGCTAATATCTTCAATATACTTATATGCTATGTTTTAAAAGACAGATGGAAAGACTCAGCAAAATCTGATTACATTATGGGTTGGAAGAGAATTAAATTCTCAGGACATTAGGTATGGGCATGAAAACGATTTCAAGTGAGGTCTGAGCAGCACAGTCAGGTTTAGGCACCTCGGGGAGGTGTTTCGTCTTCCAAGCTTTCCTACCTTCCCTGGACAGGCCCGGAATCCTACTGACAAGTACAGGAGTATGTACCATACTTTACTACACCAAACCAAGACAGCCTTTTACTTCTCATTTAGCTCTCAGGTAGAGCGCAAATCTTCCCTTAGGAAGGTAGCAAGGGGAGGAAGGAAGGAAGGGTTATGGAAATAAGAGAGAAACCTAAATTGACCATTTAGTCTGTATGCTCAAAGGTGAGGATAATTGATTTTTGAGGTGTTCAGCAGAAAACCTTCCATATATGGAAACCTAATACATGCTCTGAGGAAACTGTTCACTCCAAATGGTAGGTTGGAGACGTGGAAATGGGAGAGATTATTGACTAATTTTTGTCGAGAATGATCTAACCAGACCTCAGTGTTCTCTTTCCTAGAAAGTAAGGAATACATGGACTGAAGAGAACACTGTTTACAGTAAGCAGTAGCTAGCGTACAGTTCAAACAATAGTTTATTTTGAGGGTAAATGAGTAATTTCTACTAAGGAAAAGGGGAATAGTTTGGGGCACATCTCTGCATAGAAGAACTTAATTCTTTTAACTACAGGTTGAAGATTAAGAATATGTTATACTGGAAAAAAAATACCTCTGAAGGAGAGAGAGCCATTTGTCCTTTTGTTCTGGAGAACTACAACCAAAGAAAATAGGAGAGAAAAATTAAACACATAACACATTTATACTAACATCTCTGAGACTATCAATCCAGATAAAGTATCAACAGCCTGTTACAGAGGGAGTGGCCCACCACTGCACTCTGGAGAATCCGCAAATGGAAAATTCCCATCAGGAAAAACTATACCGTCAGGTACAGTTCTTTTAAAACCTCCTGAATGGATCCAAGACAGGGCCATTTTCTTACCTTATGGCTCTTTTACAAGTATAACTCTTACAGTGGAATGAGTATTTGATCTGGAATCTAAACACCTGGTTCCAAAAACATATGCAAGCTACCTGATCATGAGTGAATCACTTCACATCTCTAAACTTGTTTCCACATCTGTAAAACTGGGCTAATTGTCTCAGAGTGTTTTTGTAGCTTTAAAGGCCATACAAACAGAAAGTATGCTCAATTTAAGATTAGAGATTAAAGAGAAATTTGGCATGTTGATGGAAATATCTTGGCCCAGAAACCAGTTTCCTATCGGAAAAAGAAATATTTATACATATAGCAGGATTTTAATTTAGTGAATTAGTTCACAGAAAACCTATTCTTAATTACTACAGTCTTCTAAGATCAATTCATTTACAACTAAATCATTATTAATAATTTTTCTGAAGTTACTATGTTTAATTTTTTAAATTTTTATTTATTTATTTGAGAGAGAGAGAGAGAGAAACAGCATGAGAGGGAAGAGGGTCAGAGGGAGAAGCAGGCTCCCCGCTGAGCCGGGAGCCTGATGTGGGACTTGATCCCAGGACCCTGGGATCATGACCTGAGCCGAAAGCAGTCACTTAACCAGCTGAGCCACTCAGGCACCCCGTTTAATTCTTAAACTTGAAAATAATTCAGTGTTTATTTCTAAATGGTCTTGTTACTCACTAGATTTTATACCATATTTCTAATCTTAACAAAGCTGGAAACCCTTGTTATTTTCTTGTTCCAGAAAAATACACTTAACAAGTATTTGCAATTTGTTTCTAAGTCTGTTGCTTAGCAATTTTCTCCATATACAACTCCCAGCATTGGGCATCTGAAAGTACACTACATCTCTTTTATCGATCATCCAATTTTCATCTTCCATAGTTCCTTACAAACTTTTAATGTATTCACCCTTCCTAAACAGAGATTTTCTAGGTTCATTTGTGTCAAATCTTGGATTTATTTAGCAAAAAACCGTGTGGAAAAATAGGTGAGTTTTCTTTGGACCTGTGAACTTTTTTCAAAGCAGCTAAAGAAAATTACCCCTTTAAAACAGTATTTTTTTTAACTTTTATTGACATGTAAGATACACAGAAAAAAACTGTATAATGCTTAAGTGGACAGCCTGAACATTTTTTCACAAACTGAACACAGCCACGTGACTAAAACTCAGATTACGAAATAGAAAATCACCTCGGGAGGACTGCTTATGCTCCTTTTCAGGTACTAGTTCCCACTCTCCTGACTTCCAACAGCACAGGATAGTTATGTTTACTTTATTATAAATGTAACCAGGCAATATGTACTATTTTGTGTCTGGCTTCTTTCATTCAACACTATGTTTATGACACTTCTCCATATTACGGCATGTGGTTTTAGATTGTTCATTCTCATTGCTGTATAGTCTTCCATTGTTTGAATACACAGCATGCATTACTTCAAAAATAATTTATGAAGTGTGTCAGGTTAACACACTGAGATTGATTTATGTAGTCTTCTTGTGTTTTCACCTTTCTACTACTCTGTGCAAGAAGAATCCAGAACTTCTCTTTCTTTAGTGATTCTTAAGGCATTTACCAAACTAAAAACAAAAGTACTCCAGAATCAAGGTGATCTCAGAGTTTCATTAACACCTAAGCTCATTTGGTAAGAGCAAGAAGAGGAGAAAGCAGTATATCTTAAGAGAAAGAGAAAAGGCAAGGCAGATTGGAAAGAGACCCTCAAATTTGGGAGGGGATAGAGTCTGTTATCCCTGGGAGTGAGCAGGGAACCATATGTTACTCAGTTGAGATGCCTCAGGAAACAGAAAGACCCCTTAGGAAATGACTGTAAGCAGCAACCTGGGAGGCCTGTTCCTGAGTTTTTATGTCAGCAATGATACCAGCACCCCACGTGTGGCAAGGAATCAGAGTAGCTCTGAACATAAAAGACACAGAGAAAGATAATGTCAGCAGTGACCACAACAGACTGAAGGTCACAGTCTGCCACCTGTTTGGAAGACATCCCAGAAATCTGCTGGCACAATGTAGGCTCAATGTGGGTTTTCATTTGATCTATAAACAGGCTTTTCCTGCCTTTGCTGAGTTTGTAGACTAAGATTCACACTAGGTACTTAAGTTAAAATATCATTCTTCTGATTCCTCTTATAGACAGATCCTTGTCAGATTCCAGTACTTCCTGTGTATTTGAACAATGTTCTCATTTTACTGTGTCATTATCTGTAGTATCCAGGTGCAGTGCCTGCTCTTCAGGCAGATACAGATCCTAGGTTTGAGAATCAGGGTACAAGATACATGAAACTCCTGGCCATTTCTGAGATGTGACGATCTACTCCGTGTCCTAAGGGAAAGCATGAGACGTTCACATTTATTATTTGCTCTTCCTCTAACTTGACACAGTTGGGAATTCCTCACTGATTCTGGCAGTTGTCAGTCTTAGATTTCAAAGCTATTAGTCTTTACATTTTTGGTTTCTTTATAGATATTGTAGTGACTGGCTAGGAGAACCTCCTTCCTGAGCTGCTAGTCTGATGGCATTTTAAACTGATCATGGCCTCGATTTTTTTTCATAGTGACGGATACATACCATTTCTGATGTTCTTCAACCCTTCCTAAAAATCCAAGCTTCCCTCTGATATAATTTTGCTTCTCACTGAAAAACTTGTTTGCATTTTTTTTTTTTTTTTGGTAGCAAAGTTCTGCTGGAATAAATTCTTAGAATTAAAAAAAAAATCTTTATTTCACTTTCATTTTTGAAGGATATTTTTGGTGGATATAGTATTCTATGTTGAAAGTTCTTTCTTTCAACACTTCAAAGATGCCATTCCACTGTCTTCTGAAATTGCCATAGTTTCTGATGAAAAAGCCACAGTGATGCACATTATTGTTCCCCCATATGTAATGTGTTGTTTTTCTCTGGCTGCTTTTACCATTTTCTCTTATCTTTGGTTTATAGCAGTTTGTCTATAACATGACTAGGGGAAATTTTCTTCATACTCCTGTTTGGGGTTCACTGAGCTTATTAAAATCTGTACATTTGTATCTTTCGCTAAGCTTGGGAGATTTCCAAACTATTATTTCTTCAAATATTCTGTCCTATTCCCTCTTTCTCCTCTTCTGGAGTTCCAGTTACATGTATATTGTATCTTTTGGTATTTTCTAACAAGTCTCTGATGCATTTTGAATTAAAAAATGTCTGTTTTGAGGGTACCTGGGTGGCTTAGTCAGTTAAGCATCTGACTCTTAATTTTGGCTCAGGTCTCAGGGTCGTGAGATCAAGCCCTGCGTTGGGCTCTGTGCTGGGTGTGGAACCTGCTTAAGATTATCTCTCTCTCTCTTCCTCTCATATATAGATAAGTACATAAATTTAAAAAAATGTCTGTATTCTCTATTCTTCAGATTGGACAATTTGTATTGATGTATCTTCAAATTCACTGACTCTTTCCTCTTTCATTTCTATTCTGCAACTAAGGCTACACCGGGGATAGATATAGATATAGATATAGATATAGATATAGATATAGATATAGATATAGATATAGATATAGATATAGATATAAATAGATATCTATATCTATCTATTTTGAAGAATACATTTGCATAAAACTTGTTTCCACATCTATATCTATCTATATCTATATCTATCTATATCTATATATATAAAATTTAAGATATTGCAGTTTTCAGTTCTAAAATTTTCATTTGGTTCTTTTTTATATTTTGTATTTCTCTGCTGAGAAATCTTTTCATTCATTTCAGTTGGCTTTTCCTTTTACCTAGTGAGCACAATTATAAAAGTTGGTTTAAAGTTCTTTTCTGGTAATTCCAACATGGATCATTTCAGGATTGGCCTCTGTTGATTATCTTTTCTGGTTCTTTGTATGTGAAGAAATTTTAGATTGTATCTGGACATTATGAATATTTTGTTTTGGAGACTGAGTGCTGTTATATTTGCAGTGTTGATGTTTTTATCACAACAGATAACTAACTTGATTAGACTCAACAGCACCTTGGTTCAGGTCTTTTAGCCTTCACTTCAGGTTGCTTTGAGTCTGCTCCATGCATGTCAGCGATCAGTCAGACACGTAGGTAGAATCCATATACAAAATCTGGGGTTTCCCTCCTCTAATACGCTACTTTTTGAGATTTCCTCCCTCACTTTCCCGTGGCTGTGGCTGACTCAGACTCTGTAGTCTGGTTGTTTGGCCAGAAAGATTGGGGGTTTCTGTCAGCTTAGTTGCCCTGCACCATGATATGACTGTAGCCTGCCCTTGGGCCAATGCCTTAAACATAGGAATCTCACCCCCTGCTGGTGCCTCCTTCCAAGTTTCAATTCCTCTCCAAAATCTGCCAACTTGTGTTCGCTTTGCAGATCCTTTAGGTGGTTGTTGTTTGTATTTTGCTCAGAGTTTACAGTTGTTATCTGTAGGGTGGTCAGTCTGTTAAGGCCTCACTCTGCCATACCAGGGCCAGACCTCTTCAAAGCAACTTTTTTCTTAAAATAATCTTTTAATTTTGAAATAAGTTTAGGCTTTCAGGAAAGTTGCTAATAGTACAGAGTCCTTGGATACTTTTCACCTTTTAGTTTCCTAAAGTTATCCTCTTACAATGGCACACCTGTCAAACTAAGAAACCAATACTGGTACATTACTGTTAACTGCATTCTTGACTCTTCAGATTTTGCCAGTTTTTCCGTTAATGTCCTTTTTCTGTCAGAGGACCCAACCCAGGATAACACATTGTATTCAGTTATCATGTCTCCTTAATGATTGGTCTAGGGCAGTTTCTATGTCTTTTCCTGTTTTGTTCTTTCTTTTTTTTTTTTTAACCATGATAATCTGGAAAAGTGCTGGTCAGTTTAACCTATAGAATATCCCCTCAGTTTGTGCCTGTTTGAAGTTTCTCTCATGTTTGTCTGGGGCTCTGGGTTTAAGGAGGAATAACACAAAGGTGAACTACTCTTCTCATCACATTCTATTGAGGGGTACATGGCATCATTAGTGATGTTAATTAACCTTAATCATTTGGTTAAAGTACTATACTTTTTGAAGAATACATTTGTATAAAACTTGTTTCCACATTTTCACTTCTTCTTAAGACAAATTTCATGGAAACTCCTTAGTTAAAGGCAACATGTATGGGGTGCCTCAGGTGGCTCAGTCGGTTAAGCATCTGACTCCTGATTTCAGCTCACATCATTATCTCAGGGTTGTGAGATCAAGCCCTGCATCAGGCTCTACAGTCAGCAGGGAGTCTACTTGAGGATTCTCTCTTTCCCTCACCACACTTCCCCTCCTGCCATTCTTCCTCTTTAAAAAAAAAAAAAAAGAGCATGTGGTTTTGCCCCTTCCTAGGTATTACTTCCTTTCACCTGTAACTCCAAGGAGATCAAGCAACAGAAAATGATACTATCTAGAGAAATCTGTCATGGAAAACAACATATGCAGGGAATGATACAAACATATGTTTCTTCCAAGTAAGTTCTTAAAATCTTGTGGTAGGCCAATAATGCATAAAAGAATTTAATGACATGCCTGTTTTTATTAAAAGATTAACAGCTTGGAAAATTCTAGTTATCTGGCTTTAGAATGATGCCTGAGGTGTCTGGTGGTAGTGGGGAGAGAAGAAACCAAAAGAAAAATGTGTGCATGTGAACTCCAACTCTTTAAGTGTAAAACAAACTCTGGACTTGAGCGTGCAGCTATTCAAAATCACAAGTGTGAATTTTGATATGCTCACCCTGACCTGAGAAGTGCCAATTTAGCATGTTCAGGACAAGAGTACAAAGATTATTTATATATTCTCCAACCCTACCCCAGTCAAGGGGTGAGTCTTAGGAAACTGACTTTCACTTCCTGAGTCATAAATTTGCTTTTGATGGTCACATCTTTATGCCAAATCAGAACCTGATGTTCAGTTCAGGCACTCCATTATTTCATGGTATTAACTTTATTTCTATAATTAAAAACTATTTCTTTAGAAAATTGGGAATATAGCGGTGACGGGTAGCTCAGTTGGTTAAGCATCCGACTCTTGATTTTGGCTCAGATCATGATCTCAGAGTCCTGGGATGGAGCCCTACCCTGGGGTCCATGCTCAACAGGGAGTCTGCTTGGGAGTCTCTCTCTCCCTCCCTCTCTCTCTCTGCTCCTCCCGCAGCTTGCTCTCTCTCTCAAATAAGTGAATAAAAAATCTTAATAAAAAAGAAAATTTGGGAGTATAAAACAGTTATTCAAACTTAATTGGACTGTTTCATAAAATTTTTCAATAAAAGTCTATCACAGTGGGTTGAAAAGACCAATTCGAAAGCTCACTATGTAAAACAGTACGTGAACACGAAGGAAGGGGAGGCTGGAGAGCGGCGGCCCCAGAGCTCTGACCACTCCATTCCTTTTCCACAGGCCCTAGGTGCTTCAGTAGAGCCCCTTTAAAAATTACTGGTCATACCAAGATAAACGACTCCAAGGTTCTCAATATTTACCATTACTCTCCACACACTTTAATAAGAAGCTCTTGGGGAGAAATAAGGCCTACAAGTGTCTTTATTGGGGGTATGGTCAAAAGATGAGTTACTGACTTCAGAATAACTCAATCAGAATAAAATATTTTCCTTAAAAAAAAAATCAGAACAAAATTTGATTAACATTTTTCTTTCCGTACTAGAAATTACCTAGTTGACTGTATTTTACATGTCAATACAGGAGAAGCTATGGTTCTTACCTGAAAGTGGCCACAAAGTTCACTGTGGGCCAGCCTAAGACAAAGGATTTCACGGCATTGGTGTGGCCTTCTCCCACTTCATCCACACAACTTGCTGTCCACATGTCACTTAATTTTATTTTATTTTTTATCTTAAAGTTGTTGTTATATCTAGAAAGATAAAAACCAGACAGGACTTCTTGTTATTTTGTTTCTTAAATTTTATGAGAGCTTCTGTACTTGTGATAAGAGGACAGTTTCTACTAATCATGGACAAAGAATGTCTTATTCATTGTTTGTAACTTCAGTGCCTACCACAGGAAACTGTAAGCCAGTCGGTTACCTTTGGCCCGAAAAGGTCTTTGAAACATTTGGTGTATTAGTCCTCATGCCTGTGTTTATGGGCAGCAAATAGCCATAAACTGCCTACTTTGTTTTTCTATGTTGAGCATTGCATTTGGATCAAAAATCTAATTTTAAATTTATTGCTATTCTAAAAAATTCATTTATTATTTATAACCTGCCTACTCCAAAAAAATTTGAGTGGCTGAACAAAAGATTAAAGTACACATTATTTATGAAAGTATTTATAAAATTTTCACCTTAGGAGAGATAGATGCACTTAAAAATATTATCTGGAATTAATTAGGGGAATTTTCAATGTATTTCCAACTGAATGGTTACAAGATTTTCTAGTCTTTACAAGCAAAGTTTAGTTTAAATTTCCTTTCTTAAGAATTTTTTCAGATCATTTTCGCATATATTCTGACTAAAATTAAAAAACTATAGCCTAAAAACAGACCCTAACCTAAACTGGAAAAAAAAAAAAAAGCAGGAAGTACTATATCTAAGTGGAGTTAACATACTTAATATTTATCTCCAAGGACCCAGAAGGTGATCTACTTTAAGTTGGCAATGAAATTGCTTTTTGACAACTTCTACCTAATCTCCTTTAGAACCTGACATTGAAACCACCATTATCTCTTGATCTAAATTCATAGATTTAATGCTCATCATGGACCCGAGAGTTAGTTAGTTAGAAGGCACTGGGAAAGATAAAGAGAACGCTCACAGAAACTTGCATACTTCCTACCATTCAGAACCATTTGTGGAAATAGAAAAAGCTAACATGAAATCAAAGATACTTCATATGGCAGTATCCCTAAAACTCCTTCATGGAATATTTAAAGGCAGAACTCTTCAGTTAGGATTTATAAAATGAAAAAGGATCTTGCAGGAACTACACAAGAAGGATAGCCTGGATTCAAAGCTTCATTTATACTTCCTGTAGGGCACACTTAACGTAAGTGTAATAGGAAAGAGCCTTGTAGCATAATGATGTCTATGTTTCATTTCAATATTTTTCATCCTGTTGCTACGAATCTTTAGATTTTTAAAAAATGAAACAGACTCAATTGAAGATAAAATCTTATTTCTTTTTATTTTCTTGCTAAAAAATCTTATTTTTTGATAGTGCCTATTTAGGTAATATAAAACTGAAACTACAAATCGTTTGGAAAGAAAGGTATGTTCCCCTTTCTCTTTTTACACAGTTTGTGTTTCCTAATGCAGGTCTCTCTCTATATCAGATACTTCAGATACCAGGTGGGAACTTATCACATTTACTGCCTTGGAAAAAAATCATTGCAATGATTCTTTCCCTAGATCAATAAAGTGTCAAGATTATCCACCTCCTGCTACAAGAAGTTAATCTAAAAGTGTAAACAATCACTTCCATTCTATTGGCTAATATTTACTGAGAACTTCTCATGTGCCAGTCAGTCATTGTGGTAAACACGTTACACACATTATTTAGTTTAATCCTCACTTTATAGATAAAGAAATGGAGCCATGGAGAGATTTAACTAAGTAACTTGCCAGAAGTCAAATAGCTTAACTAGAACAGCTAGAATCTGAACTTGAACAGTATTGACTTCTGAACTTATTTAATGCTCTTAACTACTATGGATCTATAAAAAGCCCTGGATATTGTTGGTCTTATAAAGCATCTGGATGGAAGTATCTTACCATGAAGTTCCCTTCAGCTTTTCTATTTTCAGCCTTTTTTTTTTTTTTTTAAGTTTTATTTATTTGAGTAATCTCTACATCCAACGTGGGGCTCGAACTCCTGACCCTGGAGATCAAGAGTTGGATGCTCTTCTGACTGAGCCAGCCAGGCGCCCCCAGTCTTACTTTTTTCTCCCTCTGTACCTACAAGGCTTTGTGATAAGACTGTTTACTATGGAGGTGGAGAGGAATCTCATAAACACTTATGTCCACAAAGATAAATGGAGTAGCTTCAAAGTACTTAAAACCAGTATTAAATAAAATTTTACATTTAGTCCTGGTGTCATAGTGTCTCTTCATATTTTTCACACTCAATTTCCAATAGTATTAGACTATTCTAATTGAAATTTCAAAGTATGAATCTAATGTGAACTGGCTGAAAAAAACAAAATAACAACCCCAAAAGTAATTCTTTATTTCCACAGTGTAGTCCCTTACTACAGATTTTTTTTTTAAAGATTTTATTTATTTATTCATGAGAGACAGAGAGAGGCAGAGGGAGAAGCAGGCTCCCAAGGAGCAGGGAGCCCGATGCGGGACTCGATCCCAGGACCCTGGGATCATGACCTGAGCCGAAGGCAGACGCCCAATGACTGAGCCACCCAGGCGTCCCTACAGATTTGTTAAGATGAGAGATCTATGGGGCGCCTGGGTGGCTCAGTTGGTTGAGCGACTGCCTTCGGCTCAGGTCATGATCCTGGAGTCCCTGGATCGAGTCCCGCATCGGGCTCCCTGCTCAGCGGGGAGCCTGCTTCTCCCTCTGACCCTCCCCCCTCTCATGCGCTCTCTCTCTCTCATTCTCTTTGTCTCAAATAAATAAATAAAATCTTTAAAAAAAAAAAAAAAAGATGAGAGATCTATTTCCCTATTTTCCTGTGTTCCAATCTTTATACTGGAAGGAATCCCAGTGAATTGCTGAAATACACAGGATTCTAGGGATTTCCCTCCATTCGAAGATGGAGATGTTTTACTAAGTATGTTTGGAGTAGAGGACATGGTGTCTGATGGTAATTCTACTGATAATGAATAAATAACCACAACTTTTTTTTCTCTTCATCTTACTGACATAAGTAGATCTCGTCATTATTTCCCTGCTTGCTCAGGAAATAACAATCTGAGAAAAGTGGAGGCTTGAGAAGGTGTGAGGTCACTACAGTCACTTCCTCTCAGTAAATTCCACATGGCTGCTCTACAGTTATGGATGGAATAGTGACTTCTTTCTACATACTTTCACGTTTTCAAACATTATCTTAAAAGATGAAAAGCCATAATTCTATTGGAAAAATATCTTTTTATTTAGCTTTCTAATGAATATCAAAAGTGGTCACAAAGGTCCCTTTCAGTTTTAATACTTATTCTAATGACGTATGGAAAAGAAGGACAATAAACTCAACAGAATTTTAGGTAAACACTGTTAACATTCAGCACAAAGTGAATAAAATACTTTGGCCAATAAAAGGAAAAAATTAAAAACCCTTTGTGCTAGTTCACTCACTAAAATCCACTTGGTTTCACTAAGTAAATATGGGGCAGCTGGTAATTAGTTATCTCACTGGAATTTATTTCTATACCATCAACCTATGGACTGAAAGCAGTTTCTAAAGGAAGCCTGAAGATGAGCTGAAGTAATATCGAACTTAACAGTGAATTTGTTCACCAAGTACATGATTAAGCACTAATATCATTTCAACAAATTAATGATCAAGGGTACAACCCAATCGTCCATCAAAGGGTGAGAAGTGACAGGGAAGACATAGGTTTAGTATTACAGGGGACTAGTTCTTCTTGGTTGCTGTTTATTTCAGGAAAAACTTAAGGTTCTTATTAAGAAGCATCTGTGAATGTATCAAATGTTATCTATTAAAATGACCATATGATGATAAATTCTTGGCAATATTTTTGCAAGGTGGCAGTATTCAATAATAATGATTACTTTCTCAAATCTGTATGTCCTCTTCATCTCAAGAGTCTTAGGCTTATGCCCACCTACTCCCCAAATTAACTTAGATCACTCACACTTTTTAATATCCACAATAAATGTAGAAAGTTCTTAAAATAATCTTTCATGAACCGACTCTCTTAAATAAAAACAGAATTCAATCAACTGTTAATAGATTTTGTCATACATTTAAGTAGACACAGAGTTCTTTCAAAAGCAGTATGTGAGGGCGCCTGGGTGGCTCAGTCGTTAAGTATCTGCCTTTGGCTCAGGTCATGATCCCAGGGTCCTGGAATCAAGTCCCACATCAGGCTCCCTGCTCAGCGCGAAGCCTGCTTCTGCCTCTCCCACTCCCCCTGCTTGTGTTCCCTCTCTCACTGTCTCTCTATCTCTGTTGAAAAATAAATAAAATCTTAAAAAAAAAAAAAAAAAGCAGTATGTGAAAAAAATGGTGTTCACCTTATGTGAGAAAGGGGCAGTCAAAATAAAGTCAGCTCTACAGGTAAATGATAGGCCTAGATTTGACATATTTTTAAAACAGCAATTTTCTAGTGGTAAAGAAACTATATAAAAGGTTTTCCAGCAAAACACTATATGGGTTACATAAAACCACTTAGACATTAGCAAAAACCAGAACAATAAATGACAGGTAAGAAAACAAAAGTTTTCTACTCTAAATATTATCATAATTGTTAAGGAAAAAGCATCTAAAAAAGGTGAAGAAAATATTTTCCTACATAAGAACTGAATACATATTACAAGTAAATAGTCTCTAAGGTCCTAAAGTCCAGGAAATGGATTATTAAAATAAGTTTTTGTTGTCTGCTTATCTACCTGCAGGCTGAGCACAAAACTAGGCACATAATGGGTACAATGGGGGAACAGTACCAAGGGCCAGCCACTGGAAATAAGGCCTAGATTAAAACCCCAGCTCAGCCATTTCCTATTATATACCCTTGGACAAACCCCCCTGAGTCTCAGTATTCATTATCTAAAACAACTCTTGTCTTGTAGGATTGTTAGGAAAATGTAATAAGATCTTTGTGATTCTCTTATCATAATACCAAGCATACAGAACCCATCCAGTACATTCTAAGTAAAGAAATGGCAACCAATCTACATTAAAAAATGATTTGTTCCTCTATCAATAGCATATAGCTTTAAATGGACTTAGTACAAAGGCTTGGAGGGAAAGAATTTTCTTTCTCTATATTCTTTATAACATTAAATCTACTTCCAAAACTACATTGTAGGCATTACTTATATTCAAAACATGTTTTAAGCTTTGCCTGATTTTGAGTTGCGTTCCATTGTGGTTGGAAAAAGATTTCAATCTTACTAGTTTTGTTAAGACTTGAGATATCACGTCACACTGTCAGAATGGCTATAAAAAAAAAAACAAACCCCAAAAACAAAGCAAACAAAAAAAAAGCCAAAAAGACAACAAATATTGGTAAGGACATGGAGAAATTGGAGCCCTTGTACACTGTTGGGGAATGTAAAATGGGGCAGCCACTATGGAAAACAATATGGAGGTTTTTCAAAAAATTAGAAACAGAAATATTATATGATCCAGAAATCCCACTTCTGGGTATTTATCAAAGAACTGAAATCAGGATCTTGAAGAGATACTAACACTCAAGTTCAGTGCGGCACTATTTACAATAGCCAAGGTGTGGAAACAACCTAAATGTCCACTGATGAATGAATGGATAAAAAAAATGTGGTCTATACATACAACAGAATATTATTCAGCCTTAGAAAAGATGGAAACCCTTCAATATGCATTAACCCAGATTAACCTGGAGGACGTTATGCTAAGGAAATACACCAGTCACAGAAGGACAAACACTGTGTGATTCCACTTATATGAGGTCTCTAAATTAGTCAAACTTATAAAATCAGAGTGGAATGTTGGTTGCCAAGGGCTAGGGGAGGGAGAAAATGAGGAATTGCTAATAAACGAGCATTAAGTTTCAGTTATGCCAGATGAATACATTCTAGAGATGTTAACTAATAGGCACGGTGTTGTATGTATGTTAGTTAACACTACTGGATTGTACACTTAAAGATTTGTTAAGAGGGTAAACCTCATGTTAAGTGTTCTTACCATAATGGAAAAAAAAGACTTTTTTTTCCTAAGGAAAAAACCTAACACATTCTGAAACCATTTTCTTATTTTTATCTTTGCCTTTAAGTTTTAAAAAATGTATCAATGGTTCACTAAGCATTCTATACAGTTTCTTACTAGTTAAGTATTTAGTTAGATCCTTTACTCATCGCATAAGAAAGACTATAATGCTATAAAAGCAAACAAAAACTTTCTATGGAAGAATTTTCTATGAAATCCATAAGAAAAGGAGTAACAGAGACAGCAGACTCTGAAGATGGACCTATGTTCAAATGTGGGCTACTAATTACTACCTTTGGGATCTCGGTAAAGTAATTTAACTTCTCTGAGTATCAATTTCTTCTGTAAAAAGAGACAAATAATATCTGCCTGATAGAACGGTTATGCAGGTTAAAGTCTCTAGAAAAATACCTAACATACAATAAGATCTAAATAAATGTGAGGTCTCTACTGTTACTAAAATCATATTAATAGTGTTATTAAATTATATTACAATCCCTTTGAATAAAATCCCAACTCCTTATCACAGCTGTTGTTGCACCCGGCCTCCGAGATGGCCCCCAACGGTCCTCGCTTCCTGATATTCGCACCCCTCGCACAGCTGTCTTCCATGCTGCACTAAGGCTGGTCTGTGTGGCCAATAGCATATGTCAGAAATGACAGTATGCCACCTCCAAAATTAGGTTATGAAGGACTGTGGCTTCTATTTGGGGTGTTCTTTCGCTTGCCTACATCTATCTCACATACCTGGATCTTCCACTTCGGAGGAAGCAATACCATGTCATGAGCAGCCCTGTGGAGACACCCCCATGGAGAGGAACTACAGGGTCTGGCCAACAGCCAGGGAGGAACTGAGGCCTGCCAGCGTCCACACAAGTGAGCGGGGAGGTCAACAGCTTGACTGCAACCTCATGAGGACCTGTGAGCCAGAACCACCAGCAAAACCACTCCTCAGTCTGAGATTCCTCAGTCTGAGATGAGTGTTCCTGAGTATGAGATGTCTGTAGTTATAAACTGTGGTTCTGGGGTAATTTGTTACATGGGAATAGATAATATAGCTGACAAGGTCCTGATAACCTGATCCTTGTCTATTTCTCCAACCTCAATTCATATTGTCCTTCTGCTCCTTATGCTCCCGTTATAGAGGCTTTCCTTTGGCTCCTTCAAAGGGCCAAGCTTTTCCCACCACCTTTGGGTCTGCTCTTCCCTCTGCCTAGAATGCTCATCCTCCTAATATCTGAATGACTGGTTGCTTTTCAGCCTTCAATGATTTTCTTTTTCCTGACTATACCTACTTAACATATATCCCATATTTTACTTCACCCTGTACTCAATTTTCTTCATAGCACTAATCACAATCTGTAATTTCTCCCACACGTTAGGATAAAAGTGCCAAAAAAGCAGAGACCATACCCATCACATTCTGTACTGTATCCCCTATACGTATTCAGAACAGGGGACAGAGTGGGACCTAAATGAACACTCACTGAATGAATAAACAATTAAAACTTTCTTTTTGCAAAAATAAAATAAAACAAAACTATAAAGCTCACTTCAGATATTAGTTATGGTAAGAGAGGCCTGACATTCTTTACAGTAAGCACTGACTAGAAAGGTTATCTTTGTTAGTGGGAATGCAATTTTATAATGATAACTGGGAGAGGTTTACAGTATACTTACTTGATTTTGGCCACAACAAACAGATCGTTGAACAGGAAAAGATGCCGCTCCTGCCTCTGCAGACCTCGTTTGAGCTCTACCCGGCCATCAATTAGCAGAGTCCTACTGGAACACACAAATGAGGAGAGAAATGTACATGTGTCCACGCTGGCAGCAGGACTTTCCCTGGAACAGATCAAACACCACAGATCTTTAGTCAAATGATCAAATATAGGATCGAGCTCTATAAAATTATAGCTTCTGGATGGTCAAGAAATATACAGCTCTCTGTCTTTTTAATGCAATGGCATAGTTTCCTAATTGGTCCCTCAGTCTTTCTCTACACAGTGGTCTTTTACATCTCATTATGAAATTTTTCAAACATGATGCAAAATTTTAAGTTTTAAAATAAACCCATTTATACCCCAACCTGGATTTTACCATGAAAATTTTACTGTATTCGCTTTATTATATATATATCCAACTATCTATCCTTCTAACTATTCGATAATCCATTCCATTTTTAGCATTTCAGTGTAAACTGTATACAGCAGTACATTTCTCCTTAAATACTTCGGCATGAACATCATTAACTAAAGTTCAATATTTACTTATAATTTAAAGAAATGAGTGTACAATGAAATGCAGAGATCTTAGGTATATATTCACTGAGTTTTCACAAATGTATTCACCCGCACGGTTTAAAACTTTATCAAGTTAGGAAGATCATCATCACAGCAAAGTATTTCCTCTTGTCCCTTCTCAGTTGGATATTTTAGCTGAAGACGGCTTCTATGTACTGACCTCTGGGTTGTTTATTTCTTCACTGCAGGCTGAGACCATCAGCTCAAAAGTATACCGGCACCAAACTTACCTTTTTACCCGCCCAATTATTTTAAAAATTGCCCCCATTTGTAGCTTGACTGCTTTGCATGTGTCACATAACTACACCGATCTCTGCTAGCCTTGATAAGACAGAGCAGTGATGGTAAGACTCCAAGTCACTGCTGCCCATCAGAGTTCTCTTCCTTGCTATGCTACTGAACTAGCTCCCCGAGATGTGTAAGCTCCAGGGACCCCCTCTCCAATCTTCCTCACCTCAGGAGTTCCCTTGCCCTTCTCCCCTTCTGGATGGTGGTCCTTTGACCACAAGCCTCCAGACAGTCTCATGCCATAAGGGACTTCCTTTCTCCTGCAACCCTGCCCAATGATAGCTTTTTCTTTGTTCAGTCCCTAAATCCCTCAAATTCCTTACAATAGTCAATCCCCACCCTGTCACCCTCAAGGCAACCACTCTTCTTTTTCTCCACCGAAGACTAGTTTTACCTGTTCTACGATTTCACATAAACTGAGCCGCCATATGCACTTCTTTGTGGAAGCTGTTTTTTAGTCAGCTTTTATCAGTAATCCATTCCTTTATGCTGCTGAATACTATTCCACTGCATAAATCTATCAAAGTTTGTTTATTCATTCTCCTATTGATGGGCTGGGCTCTTTCCAGTTTTTAGCTATTACGAATAAAACTGCTATTAAACACTGTACTGGTCTTTTTGTGACCCATGTTTTAATTTCTCTTGAAGAAAATCTAAGAATGGAACTGTTGGGTCACAGAGCAGGTAGATGTTTAATTTTAGAAAAAACTGCCAGGTAGCTTTCCAAAGTGGTTGTTATCAATTTTTATTCCCAACAATATTGCAGGGGAGTGCCAGACACTCGACAGCCTTACCAACACTTGATGTTGTCAGTCCTTTAAATTTTGGCCATTCCAGTGGGTACACAGTAATGTCTCATTACAATTTTAATTTGCACTTCTCTGATGACTAATGACGTTGAACGCTCATGTTCTTTTTGGTTGTTTGTATATTTTCATTTCTGAATCATCTTAAAATCTTTTGCCAATGTAGAAAAACTGGGTTATATATCTTTTTATTACTGAGTTATAGGAATTTTTTTATATATCTTGGATACTCGCATCCTTTGTCAGATATGTTTTACAAATAGTTTTTCTTTGCTGCCTGTATACTTTCTTGTGTTTTTGATGAAGTTTTTAAGTTTTGATGGAGTCTAATTTATCATTTCTGTTGACCGAAGAAATCTTCACCCACCTCCAAGTCAAAGAAGATATTCTCTAATGTTTTTCACTAAAATCTGTATAATTTTAGTTTTTACATCTAGGTATATGATCTCTCTCAAATTAACTGCAGCTTATGGCATAAGGCAGGGGGGGCTAGGGTTCATTTTGCCTTTCTATATGGATACCATATTACTCAGCACCATGTGCACGGAAGACTTTCTCTTCCTCAATGGATTGCTTTGGCACCTTTGTTAAAATTACATAAGTATTAAGCATGGGTCTATTTCTGGGCTTTCTCTTCTGTTCCACTGATCTGTTTGTTAATTCTTATGCTAGATACACATTGTCTTCTAATTTTACCTTTACAGTAAATCATGAAATCAGGTAGTATATATCTACCAACTTTTTCTTGTTTGAGGCTGCTTTGGATAGTCTAAGTCTTTTGTATTTCCATATACATTTCAGCGATTAATAAAGATGAACACAAGAGAAAAAGGCTATTGTGGCAGGGGAAGAAGAGATGACCTCAGTTTCAAATATACTTTGTTTGAAATTATCAGTGGACTAGGTGGTATGGAGAAACCAGCCAGGCAGCTAGCACTTAGATGTCAGAATGAGATGTAGATCTGGTAATCATCCAAACACAGGTGCATATATGCTATGGGAATGGCTGAAACTGCATAGGGAAGGAGCACAGAATATGAGAAAAAGGCAGAAAACACCTCCCTGAGAAAAGATGTGATTTGAAGTGGTGAGGAAAAGAGAATCTGTGAGCAAGGTGGAGGCTGCTGAAATTGGTAGAGGGGTAACAAGTTGAAGCCTGAAAAGATGTCTGGGAAAAAAATCAGTTGGTCATTAAGACCTTCAAGAAAATAGTTCCAGGAGATTGGTGAGGTTCTGCAGAACGTGAATGGCCTGGAGCTTGAGGAACTAAGGAATGAGAAAGGAAGAATTGAAGTCTGGTTCTGGTTATTTTTTAGCAGCTTAGCACTACAAGGTCACTTTAAAAGGAAAGGCAGGAAAAGGAGAGAAACAATTAGCCCTGAAGGTGAGTGTTATTACCCCTCATTTTGCAGATTTGGAAGCTGATGTTCAGAGCAGTTAAAATACACAGCTACTAAGTGAGAGAGATTTACAAGTAAGTATGGTTTCAAAACATGTACTTAAAAAAATTCCATGTAGCCTTTCAAAAGGACAAGCATTTCATTCATATTGACTCATCCCTCATCCACCCAAGGTAACTGAACTTAACTAGTTTAGGACTTAATGGGAGTGGGGGAAGAAGTGGGTTCATCCAAGCTTTTTTGCCAAGCAGTGTGACACAGTGACTTATTTGGCTGCCTCAGTTTCCGCATCTGTAAAGGCAGCTGGACTGGAAGATCTTGAAACAGTTTTTATAATCTGTATACCAGACTAAGTATAAAAACATGTACTCAAAAGGTGGAATTAATATTACTGATGAGAAGGAAACAGATAATGGATATGGTTAGCAAGCAACCCTAACCTACAGTTTATAAATACAGAGATAAGCATAGTTGAGAGTCACCTCAGGGAAACAAGTCAGAGTTGAAATAAAATAAAAACCAAGAGACATAATAACAAAAATAGCAATAAGAACTGAAAAATGTTTATTAGTCTAATGGAGCTCAAAGAACAAGAATTTGTCAGAGTCTCCATCAAAGTACAGGGTATAAGAGGCCATGTCCTGTCATCCCAAGTATCTGGTTCAGGTGATAGCCACAAAAAGCGGAGATTCTCGGTTATCCATGTTTCTTGGGTTGGAACAGTATGGGTCACAGGGTCTGTTCTCCCTTGGGTATACTACACAACTGAGGGCTCTCTGAGATAATATCTGAGTGGTCAGCCATCTGTTCTCTGTTACAATTATCCTCAAAGTGTGGTCCCCAACAAGTAGCATCAGCATCAACTGGTAACTTCTTACAAATGCAAATTCTGAGGACCACCACAGACTTAAGGAATCAGAAACTTGGGAGGGCTGGCTCAGCAGTCTGTATTTTAACAAGCTCTTCAGATAATTCTAATGCACGCTGAAGCTTGAGAACCACTGCTGTCCAAAACTCTGTAACACCTTCTGGCTCTAACATTCTAAGAGTCTACAACTCTGTATTCGAAGTATTAGTGGCATATATTTCTACTTCAGGTAAGGTGAACTTCTGAGAGCCGTTCCATCATTTCCTGTAGTTTTGAGGCTACAGTTAACTCTCTGAGGAAGTGAAAGCCATTATGCTCACTAAATACTAATTAAGCACATACTGTATGTAATTTAAAGAGATGTATAAATGGGGAACAAAGACAGTAAACCAATCAGAGTCCTTTGAAAGAAAAGGGAAAGGGAGTTTCTCTGTTTAATACTGCAGATTGGAATTAGGCAATGAGAAAAGGCCCATCATAGAGAAAAATCATTTCTATTTCAAATTCTTTTGGGATGGGGAGTGGGAGGAGGCATAATGGCATCTTTTATTATGTAGTAATTTTCAAATTTATAGAAAAAAAGAACAAAATTTCACTTGCTGTTATGAAAATTGAGCAAGGACAAGGCTAGCAAGCAATGAATCGATGAAGGAATGGTTAACACAGATAGCATTTTACACAGCTTTAGTTTCTCTATCTCCAGACAGAAAAGCTTTGCAAGGAGAAAGGTCATCTTTTGCATTTTGGTTTTAAGTTCAATAAGTAACTGCTTTTTAATTATAATTATAAACCATCAGATAGGGGCGCCTGGGTGGCTCAGTCACTTAAGTGTCTGCCTTTGGCTCAAATCATGATCTCAGGGTCCTGGGTCGAGCCCCATGTTGGGCTCCCTGCTCGGTGGGAGCCTGCTTCTCCCTCTCCCTCTGCCTGCCCCTCCCTCGGCTTATGCTCTCTCTCTCTCTCAAATAAATAATTAAAAAAATAATAAACCATCAGATAGCAGTATAGTTTAAATTAGGGATCCTTAAACTATTACTCAAAGTTTGCAACCATAAATAGTTTAGGCTTTGTGGGCCATATGGCCTCCGCTGTCAACTTAGTCAGCTACCTAAATGAACACGTGTGGCTATGAGCCAATCAAACTTTATTTGCAAAAACAGGCTGCTTGTCTGGGCCATAG